GATCTTCTAATTTGCGCCATGGTTGAAACATGAGTAATAATGAAAAGAAATAATTCTCCGGTTGTGTTATTACATTGTATTTATAATGATTAATAAGATATTCACGCTTCCGTGCTTTAAGATATAGACCTTTATCTATTTTGTAATATACAACATACTTACTTTTTGGTTTGGTCTTCGTGATATCATACCATTTTGCAAATTCATAAAGAGACACATTTTCTAATTCTTTCGGTCTTATTGGATAATAAGTATCTATCAAAGACGGACAAAATATATCCGTAGATTCTTTATCGAGATTTTCAATCTCTTTGCGAGTCTTTAATTTTCTATATCTAATTTGATTAACATCTAGCCATCTAATAGTCGTATTTCGTATTATTATACAGGATATTTTGTAAATGATAACAACCAGGCAAGGAATGATTCTTCATGAAATTAAATAGAAACGTAGAATAAAATTTTTTTATAGGAAACATTTCCGTGATAATTTTAAATGTGATATAATTCTGAAATATATTTTTTGTAAAGTATTTTTTTAATAACCGTACCATAATATTTTCATAAACATACATTTAATAAGATAAAGCAATTGTAAAGTGTTTAGTATAATAATGATCATTAAGTCTCCTGATTACTCAACCAAGAACTCCGCATTGACGGTGGTAATGTAGTATCGCGGTAGAAGTTAGAACTTAGTCTTACGTAGAAAATGTACGTGTTGACAAAATTTTGTTTTGCCTGCCATTATTATATGTGCTACATTCTAAAAATATGACTTGTCTCATGCTTAGCACGTTTGTAAAAATTGGCGAAAATTAAAGTTATCTGAAATTTATACATAGACGCATATTTTTTACTCCTCTCAACAGCTGTCAATCCGTGTTTTCCTCTGTGTGTGTATGTGTATATATATATATTTGTGTGTGTGTGTGTGTGTGTGTGTGTGTGTGTGTCTGTGTGTGTGTGCGTGCGTGTGCGCGCGCGCGCTCGCGTGTGTGTCTGAATATGGCTCACTTTATGTGACTTTTACGATTGTTTACTAACTGTCAAGGGAAGAAAGGAGTTTTCGCAGATTTTTACAAGTGTTTTAAAGCGATTTCATGATTTTATTTCATCTAAATTCGTTTTATTTATAAATGGCATGCAAGAAATTTTCACGTGTCATTTCTCGTTTATAACGTCACGATTCCAACATGGCCACGGTGACGGGAGTCTTTATATTACTTCGTATTTTTTTAGGTAAAATATCTTACTTGAATTTAAAAGAATTATATCTTGTGAAACTTCTGGGGAAACATTAATCGATCTTTGAGGAGTAACAGGCGGTACGTTCTCTTCTGAAGAATGCCTTCCTTCTGGATTATTTTCTGGAGAAACATGAACAGATCTTTGAGGAGTAACAGGCGGTATGTCCTCTTCTTCTGAAGAATGCCTTCCTTCTGGATTATTTTCTGAAGAAACATGAACAGATCTTTGAGGAGGAGTAACAGGCGGTATGTCCTCTTCTTCTGAAGAATGCCTTCTTTCTGGATTATTTTCCAGAGAAACATGAACAGATCTTTGAGGAGGAGTAACAGGCGGAATGTTTTCTTCTTCTGAAGAATGTCTTCTTTCTGGATTATTTTCCGGAGAAACATGAACAGATCTTTGAGGAGAAATAAAGGTGTTTGTTCGTCTACGCCTACGGCCACGACCACGGTAGTAGATAGATACATTCACTTGTCTAGATGAAGTTTGGTCAACAACTGTATTTTCTAAAAATAACAAATAATATATTCTCATTAGAATTATTAAAATAATTTAACAATTTAATAATACTACTCGTGTGAAGTTGCTAGTCCCCCATCGGGCGCCTCCTCTGGTGGGGCATTGGGGAATGTTCGTCGGTTTGCCGGAGGGTACCGGGGAAATAAAATACTCGGGGTGGACCAAAATTAGCAAAAAGATAGCAATGGAAAAAATAATAACGAAAAGTACTACCCCAGGTGGTAGCCCAGGCCCTAGCCTGGTAAATCCACCCTCTATGGAGGTTGACCCCATGGATTCTGGGGAGAGAGCGGTAACCATTGCCTACTAAAGATTCGAGTAAAGAAAATAATATAATATTAAAATCACCAGCTAAGGGTGACAATGAACAATACAGCCAGGCTAAGACAAAAAACAGAGTAACAGTAAAATTCTACTACAGCAAGCTGTACCTGTGACATTTTCAAAACAGAGTTAGAGCAAAATCCATAGATGTTCTAAGCTACCAGAGGTCCGCCAAAGATAGACAAAACTTAAATAAAAATTTAACCACAAATATATTGGGTAATAGGTAGAAAATCCCAACTATCTCTTGAGAATAAGTGTTAATATACAAAACATTAAAGCTTATATGGACCTATGGTATTCAACTTTAGGGCACAGCATCTACCTCAAATAATGAGATCTTACAAAGATTTCAGTCCAAGATTCTCAAAATAATTACACACGCGTCATAGTACGTTCCGAATAAATTACTTCATCGCGACTTAAACATTCCAACAATTAAGGAAGCTATTAAGGAATACAATCTGAAATATTGTGATAGGCTAATCGAGTATCCTAACTGTTTTGTCACAGAACTCATGAAAGAAAGAAGAATTGTACAAAAATTTAAAAGAAAACTTCCATCGGACCTTACAAAAAAACCCTTAACTTGACTAAATATTGTAAAAATAAAGTAGAATGGAATAAATGTAAACATAAAAATGGGTCGTTACAATGTATATTCAAATATACATATAATATATAAGGGTACGGCAATGGTCATATACCTTGCTTGTCTTTTGATCTAAGTCATAAACGTTACTGAATGTCCAGCGCTGGACAGATCATCCTGTGATGATCTAGGATGTTAAATAAAAAAAATAATATTAGTTTTTAATTGTACTTTCTTTATTAATACGTACCTCTTTCATTCCGTATTTCAGAAAAATGTTCTAGATGTACATCATCGTCGTTATTGGCATCTGTAAATATTTGAACCATTATAAGTTTAAGGAAATGTTATATATCATAATATAAAAAAAAATTTTTATAATATTTAAATTATCTTCTAATTTAATTTAATAAAATGAATAAAATTTCAAAAAAATTTAAGGAAAAAATCAAGAAAATTTAATATAATAAAGATATTATCAACTTATAACTGGTATAAATTTAATGTTGGGAGGAGAGGTCAGAGAAGGAGGGAAAGAAAAAATGCTTACTAAAAATTTGTCCTTCAGTACTCACAATTTCAGTAAAAAGCAAACTTTCTTTAATATAGAAATTTAATAATAACTAAGAACATGAATAAAAAAAAAATAAAAATTTCTTACCTTCATGTATTAATTGCTGCATGCTGTAATGTCGGTCTTGATGTTGATTGTAAAACATTTTTAAAAATTGTTCTAAGGATATCCTGTCAGTAACAAGATCTTCTTGAAGTTCTACAATACGTAAATTGTTTTGTCTTTCTAAACGTGAACATATTCTTCTAACACGTAAACCACTCTTAGCTCTTTCAAGATCAAGTTCTTGATCAGTAAGAATGTCAGATAACTTTTCTAAAAAAAACATAAATAAAACATAATGATGTTATACTACTTGGTTAAAATAAATAATCATAAAAGTAATTACCTAAAAACAACCATAAATTTGAATGCTTCGAACCAAACTTTTTTGCTGCTATATTATGGAAAGATTCAACTATATTATTAGTCCTCATAGGACATTTATAAACGCTAACTTTTGATGCGGCTTGAAGCCAATTGCGACGTAGATATGCCAAAAATAAATATATATCTGGATACTCTTCCATTGTATCTGCTTGTTTTTCTATTATTTTGTAAGCTTCTGAGAAAGATTTGGGTGGAGCTAGAGGTAACGTCATTGTCATAAACAAAACATCACGAGGTGCATGTAACAAATTTAAACATTTCCATTTTCGGAAAATTGCCTAAAAAGTAATATCAGAATTGTAAAAAGATTTCGGTTATTGTCATAAAATAGATATATTTATTAATTCTAATATTTTTCCCAAACTCTTTTTTACTAGTCCCATGCCTGGAGTCTCAATTAACAAACTTGAGAAAGGAGGAGGGGAAGGATAACAACTTTGAAAAAAACCAGGGTATATCTGACCTGGATGATAGCACCCTACGGGTTCCTACCTAGAAATACAGGTAAGCTGCTGCCTTGCAGTGAAGCGTTGAATCGTCAAAGATTAGAGGAAGAAAACCTTGATCACAAATCACCTAGTCCTCCAGGTCGAGGGTTGAGGCAACTAGTAATTTATCACTTGTAAAAACAATACCACTAAAAACTCTAAATTTAGCCTCGGATGCAAAGACAGAAACAACTGGCAACGACAAAAGCAGAGAAAAAGAATTATAATATTATAAGAATATTACAATTCGATACCTGGAACGTTCATAGCACCATGGAGAAAATAGAATTCATTGCAAATAAACTGGGAAAACTAAATATAGATATTGCGGTATTGAGTGAAATAAAAAGGAAAGGAAATGGCACAGAAAACACATTGAAAATTACATCCATTTCTATAGCGGAATCCCCAAAGATCAACGAGCAAGAAGGGGAGCCTCTATTTTAATAAAAATGGCTTTAAAGGATAAAGTATCAAACTGGGAACCTTTCAACAAAAACTTACTAAAAATAAACATAATTACATCACAGAAAAATGACAAATTATTGCTATTAAGCAGCATATATTCCGTCAAACGCTGAGTCCGTAGCAATCAAGGACGAGCTCTACGAAAAGATACGAAACCGTGGAAGATGTGGGAGATTCAAGAGGTATTGGGAAATATAAATGCCCATGTAGAATCGGAAAAACAGATCAAATAATTGGACCATATGGAAGACAACAGACAAATAATAATGAAAGAAGACTTATCCACCTATGTAAAAATAATAATCTACAAATAATAAATGGTTTTTACAAACACAAAGATATACACAAATATATATGGATCCAACCGACCAGAAACCTAAAGTCAATAAGACTATATGATTGTAAAAAACAAAGGAAATTTAAAGTACAAGATGTCAGAGCATTTAAAAGTGTAACATGTGGATCGGGCCATTTTTTAGTAAAAAGCCAAAATATTGTTCCCGATTGTATATAACAGCCGAACTACAGCAAATCCAGACAGTGAGATAGAACAAGTTACATACCCCCAAGTACAAAATAGATATCCTTGCTGACGAGAGTATACAACACTTTTATCAAACAAGACTGAATGAAAAACTACAAGAAATAGATATTAAATCGTTCGGAGAAACATACACAATTATAATTGAGAGTATACATAAAGCAGCTAAGAAAGCATTGAAGGAGGAGAAGAAACAGCAGCAACAAAGTCTGGTGGAACAAGGAAATAAAGGAGATGATAAGAAGGAAAAAACGTAAATATTTGAGGTGGCTTGGCACGAAAACAGAGGAAGATAGGTAAGAATATAAGAGGATAACAAAACAGAATAAACAAATGATATTGAGAAAGAAAAATAAAATATGGGACAAAAAGTGCCAAAAAATAAATACATATATTGGAGGCAGAAAATGTAATGAAGTGTGGAACTTTATTAAAAAAGTCAAATGCAACAAGAGGGTAAGAACCAATATCACAGTAATAGAAAATAAAAAATGGGTTAAACATTACAAAGAATTACTAACAGAAGACAGAACCGAGTATATGATTCACGAAAAGGATACACCAATAAAAATTGAAGGAGAGGAGATAATAATAGAGGTGGAAACGATCAAGAGCTGTAGCAAAACTAAAAAATGGAAAAGCTGCCGGACCGTGAGGTATTCCCACCGAACTAATTAAAAATGGCACAGAAAAACTGTTTAGACTGCTAACCAAAATAATAAATGTGTTTAAATGGACATCCGACACCCAAACAATGGAAGGAAATATATATATACTCAATATACACAAGAAAGATAGTAAACAAAACTGTAATAATTATAGAAGCATATCGGTAACAAGCACAATTAGGTTATATGAAAGAATTATTAGATTTAATAGAGGAGCAATGCCAAGAACAGGAAGAAGAGCATAGCGGATTCAGGGCAGGTCAATCGTGTGCTAACAATGACATTCTGTCTTAAGCAAATAATAGAGAAAAAGTCCGCTACTAACAGGAGTACGCACCTAGTGTTCATTGACCTACAGAAAGCATATGATAACGTTCCTATTAAGGAACTATGGAAGATGCTACAAAATACTAGCATCAACCAGACAAGGCTATATAAAACCTCTATGAAGAATCAAATTCGAGGATAAAAGTAGGAAAGCAACTCTCACAATCATTCTCGGTTATTAAAGGGTTGAGATAAGGATGTTGCATATCGTCAATATTATTTAAAATATATGTGGTTGCTGCTCTTAGACAATAAAAAAGAAAAGTACGGGGAATGGGCATCTAAATCATATGCTTGTATGTACACGCTACAGTTCAAAGACGACCAAGTAATTATAGCAAATGATAAAGAGGATGTAGAGTATATGTTACAGAAACTAATAGAAGAATATGACAAATGGAGGCTGAAGATAAATAAAAATAAGACCAAATACCTATGTGTAGGAGAAACACAGGAAAACTTACAAATAGAAGCTGGAGAAATAAGGATATGTAAGAAAAACAAATATCTAGGAGTAATCTTCACAGACATGGGAACGAATAACAAAGAAGTATATATCAGAATAATAACACACGCCTGCAAACCTATATCTTGTTTGAACAGCATTTTGTGGAGTAGAGAAATTAGTAAAAAAAGAAAGTTTAACATATACCAAACCATGATAAAAAGCAGCTTTGTATATGGAGCCGAGACGTGGAAAATAACTGACAAACAGAAGAAAAGAATAAAAGCGGTAGAGATGGATGCCATAAGAACTGTCAGAATCTCAAGGAAAAATAGAATCAGGAATAAAATAATAAAAAAAAAAGTGGGAATTGACGGCAGCGAAATACAGGACATAGAGGAAAGATAATTAATATGGTACGGACATATAAATTGTATGGACAGAGAAAAACTCCCATAGATGATAATGAAGTGGCAAGAAAGAAAAAGAGGAAGACCCAGGACGACGTGGGGAACAGAAATCAAGAGAGCAATGAGTGACAGGAACTTACAGGAAGACCAATGGAATGATAGGAGAGGCTGGATTAAGGGAATCGGAGGCGATGCAAGACACTATAAACCGATATATATATACTTTTTTTTATCTATTAACTACTGCGATTTAATATTTTATTTTCATTAATCAAATATTATTTAATTATTTTTGTAAGTAAAGTGTATTATACCTGATTAAAATGGAACCAACATCCATGTATTGCAGCAGATGGAAAATTTTCACTTACTGATATTCCTGCTGCACGTTCATAATCTAACATTATGAATTTAATATTTTTTTCAAGATCAGGAATTAGTTGCTTTATTTTTATCCATATAGCATCATACAGAAATTTAGTTCGTGTTTCGCATAATATAAAAACTGTTGCAATTGCCTGAAATATTAATTTAATTTATTTTTTCAAGTAAAACAATTAATTAGATTAAATTTTATGATATATAATAATGAAAAAACTTACCGTTTGACAGTAACGGATATGTATTGTAAATAGCTGCGCTATTTTTGGAACTTTTGGAACGATCTATAAATAAATGACAAAATAAGGCACTCAAATATTTTTATAGTTATGTTAAAAGTACAAATATATTAAAAAAACAATACTTACAGAAAATGTCCCATCAAGATACATTTCGGTGGATGCAGCCAACTCTTTCAATAGTATATCTGTACTGAATATAAGGGCCGTTTCATTTTTTATTGATGTTGCTTTACCTTTATATATACTGCTTAAAGGTTCATAGGTTTGAAGCTTTGTATGTAAATCCAAAAAATTTGAAGGCAACGATGGTTTATATTTGATTTTTTCACGATAAAGAGGTGACCGCATTGTATTATATGATACCGATGCGGCTGCTACAGGATAACGTCGAGATACAGTATCAAAAATATCTTTACTATTTGTGTATCTATTTTTACACATTTGTTTCATTTCTTGTTTCATTTTCAATTTTTCAGATAATGCTGTATCTGGTGGATGATCATGTTCTTTAATAAGAGTGTACATTTCACCATCTTGTTGCAGACTTCCTTTGCATTTAAAATAACTTCTCCTATTACATCGATAAATATATTCATACCGATTGTCTCTATTATACATATATCCATTAAACACATATAGACGGCTATTTGTCTTTTTACCAGGAAATTCTTCCATCTATAAACATAACAATAAAATCAAGAAAACAAAATCAAGTCATTTAAATATTAGTAATGTATCTCCTACAATTATAAGTGTGCAAAGCAAGCATTTGCAAATCGAATCGAATCTTCGATAATCAAATTAAATCAAATTTGAAATTTTTATATCTAACTGAATAGAATCTAATTCAAATACAAATAAAATTTTAATCAAATTTTTCGGACTCATATATAAATTTAAACATAAACAAAATTAAGTAGAAATGCTTTTACGGAGCCGACATTATTTGTTAATGTGTATAATTAAAACAAAATGCCAACTGGCACCGAAACGCCTCTCGCAATCTGCTTATATTTCACTTTGACGGAATCTTTTCCACGAGAGACAGCTAGATACTTGACATTGTCTTGGAAGCGCCGTGGAAAGCTTTGGTGAGCGCGGGAGGTTGTGCTGGCGCAATGCAGCGCTTGCGAGTAGTTATGACTGGGTTGTCATGTCTGGCGCATTACGGTCGGCCGCAATACCTTCTATTTATTAACGTATATTAAAAAAGATTTAATTTCCAATAATATTAGATATAGTAGAATTTACACATGCGATGTAGTTCTATGTAATTCTATTAAATATTCTAATTGTTTGTAAAATATGTAAATTTTAAACAAAATTATTTTACTATAGACATACCATTACTGTTACATTATATAACTTTATTGTTCTTGCTCAATTGCGATTTGTAATCGGCTTGAAAATATAGTTACTCGATAGAAAACTATTTGAAATAAGTACTACAATTATTACAAATGATTACTGAAGGTACGCTATTAATTGGATTTTAGCAAATTATAAAGTCGAATAACGAATAATGTTAATACTCTGGTGTCGCAACTGTCAATTCGATTCGCAGTCGACGCCTGTCAATATATCGTGCGGTCGTAGCTGAATGAATTATACACTGTTACAAATATTCTTAAATTTAATTAACTTTTAATGTACATTGGTGAATAAAATTTAAAATCTTAGTAACTGAAAAAACTATTAATGTACATGTTGATGAGATTTAACTTAAAAATTAAGTGTATTGAAATTACATATACTTTTTATTTATGGATATAAATGACATTTTAATGAACAGTAATTGAAATAATTATTAAAGTACATTTTCAATAAGTAGTTAATGAAATATAAATATTGAGTAACTTAAAAATTAATTGTATTGAAATTTAATACACATGTAATTTATGGATATGAATGACATTTTAATTGAAATAACTAATAATATACACGTTAATGCAATTACCGAAGAAGATTCCACAACAATTAAACTTATAATTGAACATCTTTTTCTCATTCCCATAATTAAATATAATTGAAATAATTAATGAGGTATGCCTTAATACAATACGTTAATATCCATGAACCATACTATAATTGTTTAATAAACAAAATTATTTCAGTGACGTTGCATATTCTTTTAAACAATAGGCAAAAAAATAGATCATACAATTTTAAAAAATAATTACAAAAATGGAATGCTAAATAAAAATTTATAATATATAGTAGCAAATATTGTGATGATAAATGCTATTATATACCTGTAATTAAATACTTTTCAAAAGTAGTAAGTATATGATTTTATTCGATTTGATTTAATTTAACATATTTGCACACCTCTATTGTCCAAATTATTATATAAATTACTATAAAATAAATCGTATATTTCAGATTATAATTAAAACAAAAGTATTCCGAATTAGTCTAATAGTAATGCTATCAGTAATAGAAAAATTAATAAAAATTCGACGAACTCACCAATACCACAAAAAAAAGACAACTTCTAATTGTTTTTATAAATTTCTGTATATTTCTTATAATACATTTTTCATTATAGAAACTAATAATAAACATGAATATAAAGTCTTACTACAAATTGCCTAATATTTCTATAAAAAAAAGTTTATTTCTACAGTTATTTATAATTTTGCCCTATCTTTAATTGAATATATTAGATAGAACATTTTAATTGCGCAAAGTATACTATATGCCTAAATACGTACAAATAAACGCATATTGTAATGATATTACCCAGATAACCAAATTTGTCGAAACAGATTTTGCCAAATGCTTGTTACAAATTTTGTTAGCAGAAAGACATCAAATATGATGCAGAGTTTGTTTTATCTGGCAATGTTGCAAAATTGCTAGCAAAAATATATCCAAGCTTGTTGACAAAGCATAACAGCAAATTGCTGGCAAAAACCGAGCAAAGCTTGCGCATAATTTGAGACCAAATTGACGCCAAATATGAAGCAAGATTTGTGCAACACGATTTAATAGCAAAATAACAGCAAAAACCGAGCAAGACTTGCAGTTCAGTCAAACTGCATGGTCTTTAAAGGGCCATTTAATTATATCTTGACTTATTTCTAAATTACATATTTACTACACTATCTATAATCCATATACATAAAATTACTTTTACATTTGAGTATTTACTCTATTTCCAATATAATTAAATATTAAAATGAGATAATGAAATATTGTTTTAGGAAACTAAGTATTAGAAAGCCTATATGAGCGATGCTAGAGGTACGCACGTTTTATATGTGTATGTATAAATTTATAAAGAATTATTGACATATATCCTAAATTTATGTTTACAAATTATATACATATATACATATATACATATATATGATTATATATACACATATATATATAATATTTATACATAATATATATAAAATTATATTCAAAGTTGAATATTAAATCGACAATAATTATATAAATATTAAAATGACATCTATGTAAAATATTTATACTTTTTACAACAATTAAGTGTCTGTATAATATTTAATTTTACAATACTTTTATATTATTAAAAAATATAACTTATATTATGCACGTACGATATTTACCGTTTATTAGTAATTGATTTTTGCTAAACAGATATGAAAACCGATTAAGTATTATGGCCACACTGCACTCTCTTAGTAGAATCAATTAAAACTTTACTAATTGATCAGTGATAAAAAAGTTTACTAAGAATAAGTGATAATATCACTGATTTGCAGTGAAAAAAATGCCTCTTTTAAAGTTAGGTGTCAGTAACAAATTAGTTTTCCTAGAAAGAGCAGTTACAATTATGCTAATTTACTTAGTAACAAATAGTTTTACTTAGAATCAGTAACAATATCACTTAATGCCATTAATATATTAGTTTTAAAGTAATTGATTTTGAAAGTCTCAATGGCTGAATTGATAGTGTTCGCTTAGTAATCAGAGTGTTCTAGGTTCCAGGTTCGAATCCAGTCGAGATGATTTCTGACAATGTGTTTTTTCTACAAAGTAATACTAGAAAAACATAGAGAATAACCAAGAAAACTTACTCGAGGACATAAATTGTAAATCTAAATCATTTTTTTGTATTATAAATATTATTTTGCTATCAAATCGTGTTGCGCAGATCTTGCTCCATATTTGGTGTCAATTTGGTCTCAAGTTATGTTATCAAGCTTTGCTCGGTTTTTGCTAGCAATTTGCTGTTATGTTTTGTCACCAAGGTTTGGCGACAAAATCCAAGCTTAATGCGGACATAGTTGATGCCAATTTGCTGAATAAGTTTGCTCGAATTTGTTACCAATTTGCTGGCAAATTCCGAGCAAATTGTTTACTGGGTAGATATCTGATTTACCTTAAATTAAAAAAAATTAAAGCATTAACATGATGACATTACTAAGATATTAATAAGCGTTATCTTTGAACTCTTTCTTATAATGTGACTTTTCTTTGACAGCAGCCTTAAAATAACAATAATTTTCTGTTTCTATAAAGAAAAATATACAAGAAAATGTAAAAATAAAATGTTCTCATGAAATGATAACATCTGCAATTATATTGTTATATACTTACTATTTTTTGTTTTAGTACAGGGCACCAAAATATTTTTTTATAACAAACACTATATGCAAAACGTAATGAGCCTTTTGATTGAATTAAACAAGTGTAATCTAAATAATTTTGTATATATAATATACCGTGCACGGCATGTATGCGGAACTTGATTGCGTTCAAGGAGGATAACCTATAAAAGATATATTTGGAAAATTTACCAAATGCAATTAATTAATGAATATCTCTCAAATGATTACTTATTTTACATTCTTTTACGGTAGAAATCCGGCAAGAAACATTATTATGTACCTTAATTGGCTGGCTGGAAAATGAGCCGATCTACATACGGAGCAACGTTGAACCGTTGGACCACAGCCCTATTCCCTGTTCTTAAAAACATGCGAATAATTTTCGTATATGAAAGTAGCAGAATAACCAATAGAATTATTCGGTGTTATTTTCCTATTGGCTATTTTGTTATTTTCGTATACGTAAATTATTCGCACGTTTTCAAAAATAAAGCCTTAGGGTGATCGATTCTATATCACACAATGTAAGGATTTCCGTGTTTAAATAAGTATAAATGGCTTTCTACAATAAGCTGTTAGTTGGTATCATAAGTCATAAGCCATAAGAATTATAGGCTTTCTACAATAAGCTATTAGTCGGTATCATAAGTCATAAGCCATAAAAATTGACCAATTACAGTCAAATCCCAGATAGCACACAGCATTCAAAAAGAATTCAGGTTTATGTCATCAATACTGAGTTCATTTTGAAATGCAAAAAGAATGCTTTTCCTGACTTTTTCTTTCTTTTTCAGAAAAAGTATTCTTTTTGCATTTCAAAATGAACTCAGTATTGGTGACATAAATCTGAATTCTTTTCTTAATCTTTTTGAATTCTCTGTGCTATCTGGGATGTGAAGAGAATATTCAACTGTGATTGATCAATTCTTATGGCTTATGACTTATGATACCGACTAAAAGTTGGTTAAGTCCCGGTCTACAATAGATGTAGTAACCCTTAAGCCGTAAGAAATTGACCAACCATGGTCGATTATTCTCCTCATACTTAACTATGATTGGTCAATTTCTTACGGCTTAAGACTTACTACATCTATTGTAGACCGGGACTAATAGGCTTTCTACAATAAGCTATAGGGCCTAAACAGAATAGTTGACTTATAATTATAAGACAAGTTTTACGACTTGAGTCTTTGTCATTAGTAACGCACAATAATTGTCTTGTGTTTCAAGTCTTAAGTTACGAACAAAATCTCTTTTTAGTTTAAGATTTGAGACATAAGACAGTTATTGTGCGTTACTAAAGACAAAAGACTCAAGTCGTAAAACTTGTCTTAAAATTATAAGTCAACCGTTCTGCTTAGGCCCATAAGTTGGTATCATAAGTCATAAACCATAAAAATTGACCAATCACAGTCAAATGTGAAGAGAATATTCAACTGTGATTGATCAATTCTTACGGCTTATGACTTATGATACCGACTAATAGCTTATTGTAGAAAGCCTATAAAGCCTATAGCACATGAAATGTATAACACCGCACAAGAATAAGGGCCTGCGCACAATAGAGAAATATTAGATATAAAATATAAAATATAAAATGTTAGGATCAGTTTCCTCAATAAATATTACAGATAAATAATAAGTTATATTATACACGTTATATAATAAGAAATATGACGCTTTCTTAATTGTTATTGTTATGTTTCTTGACGCGCACAAAGAAACTAACGAATTGTCTTGTGTGTTTGATTTAATAAATTCTATTTATTAAAAACACAAAAAGAGTTGTTTGTCTACATGAGCTCACAAAGAAGAATGAATTGAATGAATGAAAGAAAGAATGAGAATCGCCTTCATCAAAAGAATGCTTGTTTACATGTTGCTAGGCAAACCCTTAGGATTTTAATCGATTCATTAAGTGTCGTATATCGATACATCATATCGATATACAACAGTTATCTATAGTTGTTATATAATTGTGTTAAACAAATTAGTTTCAAAATTGATTTTTGCAACGTACTTTTTACGATTTAATTTTTGCCATTTCCGCCATTTTCTTTTTCTGTTTCTTTCGTTTCTAGCATGGTAGAAGGGATAACTGTTATACTTCCACCATGGTTTCTAGGGTTGCGTTGAGAATGAACGTGTAGGTGCACCCAGATATCATTTTATTCTTGTTTAACATTCAATAAACAACAAAGATAACATGATATCTGGGTGCACTCGGACGTTCATTCTGAACGCATCTCATGGCCACTTGCACCAACGCCGATTAACTTAATCGGATGATTATCCTATCGGAATTAACCAATCGCATTGCCTGTTGTGTGAAATAACAAATGCGATTGGTCAATTCCGATAGAATAATCAGCCGATTAAGTTAATCGGCGTTGGTGCAAGTGGCCCTCAGTAGAATAGCTTTTTTGCATTGCGCAGCTATATTGTGCATTTGTCTCCTTTGTCTCAATTCGTCTTTCACGTGTGAGAATTACATTACAATCTCCAACTTCTTTGTGAGAATTTTCGTTCGACGGGCGATCACGTCCCGTAAGTGGACGTGATCGCCCGTTACCGTAATAAGAAACTGAAAAGTGCCAATAATCGTGGTTTATTTGCTTTGAAATTAATCTTTCGAATATGTTGGTTGAGCCTAAATTGACGAACACGTCACCGAACTTCGGCAAATCATCCGACAAAACGAGGTTAGTGTGCACAAGAGAACATGAACAAGAATGAGGTGAATACTTGATAACCAAAGGTTTGGAACGACTCGTATATTAATAATAACAAGGCGAAACTATCCCATTGCTTGTTGTGTCGCCAATATCAAAGAAATTTATACTGTTTAAGATCAAGAAATGTTTATTTTGTATGCAGTACAATTTGTTTTATACATTTGCCATTTCTCATTTATGCATTTTCTATCCATGTAGAATAAAATTTTGAATGATTGATAATTAATCACTATTATAATCGATTTGTATCTGGGTACTTGTACATTGTCATGATGTACAAAGTTATGTATAAGTAGAATTACTTATTAATGAACTGTGTAATAACAATGTGATTTTGTTTTTATTTTTGCTTTGGCTAAGTAATCTATGGAAGGAGAATATGTTGTTAATTCGGAAATATTTCTGAGATATCTTGGGAAGGAAAAAGAAAATATAATTGCCAAAAATCTACGTTTGTTGAAATCTTAGCAAAGTGAAGCAAAAGATTTGATTTACCGTGAATAAACTTATTGTAATTAACAATATTCTTTCAGGAAATATTGTAACTTGTAGCAGAGTAGTCAGTGAATCAGAAATTCTTACTGATTCCAAGCAAAACAACTCCAAGCAAATGTATAATGCGAGTGCTTTTGTATTACGAACAAGAACCCTCCAATATCCGCATTATCAATCTTCATCGTCTGTACTGAGTGCCTATCCGTCTTTCAATCTCTCTCTATTGTGCACCCATCAATGGTCCACCATCAGGGTGAGTTTGTGTAATTTTGTTAAATCTACTTATCTGGTGAATTAAGAAAATATTTTTTCTTTATAATGATGGATAATTGGAGAACAAGTTCTACAGTCATTAATAGATTTTAATCCTTGTTGATTTGAGCTGTGATCCTTTTTGATCTTATCTGATATACAATATCGAATAAATTTTACTATAAAAAATGTTCACTACAAAATTGTAATGAAAATTTAATTTTAGTGTTTTTATGTATTACATTTCATAGATTGATACAGCAACCTCCCATACTTTTTTAAAGATATGTGAGTAGCGACAATGTAGCTTTGAATAGCTATATAACGACCTTACTAGAGTGCTGTCACCAAATGTAATTTGGCCGATTCGGCCAAGCTGTCAACCATATGGCTATATATGGGAAGAATAATATAAAGTTAGTTTTGTTTAGAATATTTAAATTTATCTAGATTATCATTATGATATTCGATCATATTGTCTCATTATTATCTGTAATTTGCTATAATTAGATCTTAAGTAAACAAGCTCACATTCCGCAGGCTTGGGATAATGTTGCTGTTGTCACAACTGCTCATACTTCTGAAGGTCTTTGGTGCATCTTAATAATTGTATCGGACATAATGCAAATAATGGTATTAATATATCTGTCGAATTACAAGTAACGAATTTAGATCAAAACATTGATATGAGAGACATGAAGCAAATTCTTTTTTCTTTTCTGGAATTTACTTATTATTAATTGATTATTTTTAAATAATTTTAATAAATTATAAAAATGTATATAAATTTAAATACATATTTAATATTAATTTAAAAATTTATTAAATTTCTGTTTTCATTTATTTTTTCTCATTCTATGTTAATCTCATTCTTTGATCAGTTTAACGTACTATTGTAATACTAAAAATGATAATAGCTACTTGTTGTTAATGTTAGCATGCAACTTTGTGTCGTAACAAATATTTAGTATTATTTATTGAATAGATCTTGGAGCTGAATAAAAACGCTGGACAGGTAGAAAAGTAATGTGGTTAGCAATGCAAGATATTCCAGTCCATCTTTCTTGCATGAAAAATGCTGAAATTACTCCTGACGGCGATGTGCAAAGTTGTCCTGTAAATATAATTAATGCAGTAACTCCTATACCAACCATGTATAACATGAGCTCCCATTCAGCAAAACTTTATGATAGAGGATGAAACCGTTGTGCATAATATTCTTTATATGAGTGATGAGATATTAGATCAAAATGGCACTTTTATTGAAGAGCTTATAAAAAATTATGATGGCAAGGTACTAAGGATAGTTATAATTTGCATTAGTAGTAGCGTAATACATTTTGTTGTCACTAACTTTATCGTTGCAGATGCACGGCGACAGAGAATCAGGTTTTATGGACGACTCCATCTTCGTTGATTTAGTGAATGCTCCAGCAAATTATGAAAAAGACAGAGAGCAATTATGATAAAGACAGAGAGCAGATAAAGAAAGGGAAGGAATCTTTAAAGGAGAAAGAAAATCAAAAAGAAAATGAGAAGAATGATGTTAAAATAAATTCTCAAATAAAGTTAGATAAAACTAAATGTGGGAAGACAGCTGCTACTCCGTTTCCATCGATACATATATTTAATGTAAAGAAATTAAATACCATAATTCAATATTAATTAAATCATATAACATAACTGTTTTGTAATTATTTTAGGCAATTGAGCATGTTTCTCGGTAAAGGAAGATCTAAGGAATTAAAAGAAAAGTATATTAAATTAAAACTGAAAGATCTGATCCAAATGTTTTGCCACCAGAATGTACGCCCAATATAGATGGTATAAATGCAAGAAGTGTACCTAGGGAACAAACAATTCTTTTCATACTTTGTTCTGCAGAAGATGCTTCAAGTACGATTACTTCTTACATCGTGAGTATACTGATATAAAACTTTCTTTATTATTTGAGTTTTATTTTGTGAAGCATTAACCCTAAAAAGTAATACTGTCTGTAGTACTTATTATCAGGGTTGGGTAAGTTAAAAATGTTTAAAGATCACATTAAAATTAATAGCTTTATAAAATTAATTTAGTTATATTAATGATTGCACAAACAAAAAACTAAGTTAAAAGTTGCTTTGAGATTAACATTAGATTAAAAATTAATTTAAAAATGCATTATTCTTGTATTAAAATAAAACGTAATTTTTAAAAATTTAATTTTTTTATTTTACATAGATAAATTTTCAACTTAAAATTAATAAATTAATAATTAAAATTAATTAAAGTTTAGGTGTTTTAAAAATAACTAGTTGAAGTTGAAACTTATTTGAATTTAGCACAATCTAGTTTTAATTTTTTTTTAATTTCAAAATTTTATTGAATAAATAACCCCGTAGTTTTTTTGAAAATTAGTAATTTTTAAATTTTATATTATTTAAACATGAAATATATTCAATCAAAAAAAGGGAAAATTTAAATTCCTAATGCCAATTTGATGACGTGTTTTTATTAGCCATGACGTCATACCTCATGTGAGTAGAATGAAACATCGATACTGATTTTTTTTACACATTGTATATTATTATCAAAACTGAAAAGTTCTTTCACAATATTCGGGCATTACTACTTAATTTTGTTTATGTTTAAATTTGTATATAAGTTCGGGAAAATTTAATTAAAATTTGATTCGTATTTGAATCAGATTCTATTCAGTTAGATATAAAAATTTCAAATTTGATTTAATTTGATTATCGAAGATTCGATTCGATTTGCAAATGCTTGCTTTGCACACTTATAATTGTAGGAGATAAATCATTAATCTTTAAATGACTTGATTTTGTTTTCTTGATTTTATTGTTATGTTTATAGGTGGAAGAATTTCCTGGTAAAAAGACAAATAACCGTCTATATGTGTTCAATGGATATATGTATAATAGAGACAGTCGGTATGAATATATTTATCGATGTAGTAAGAGACGTTATTTTAAATGCAAACGAAGTCTGCAACAAGATGGTGAAATGTACACTCTCATTGCCGAACATGATCATTCACCAGATGCAGCATTATCTGAAAAATTGAAAATGAATCAAGAAATGAAACAAATGTGTAAAAATAGATACACAAAGAGTAAAGATATTTTTGATACTGTATCTCGACGTTATCCTGTAGCAGCCGCATCGGTATCATATAATATAATGCGGTCACCTCTTTATCGTGAAAAAATCAAATATAAACCATCGTTGCCTGCAAATTTTTTGGATTTACGTACAATGCTTCAAACCTATGAACCTTTAAATAGTATATGTAAAGGTAAAGCAACATCAATAAAAAATTAAACGGCCCTTATATTCAGTACAGATATACTAATATACTATTGAAAGAGTTGGCTCCATCCACCGAAATGTATCTTGATGGGACATTTTCTGTAAGTATTGTTTTCCTAATATATTTGTACTTTGGACAAAACTATAAAAATATTTGAGTGCCTTATTTTGTCATTTATTTATAGATTGTTCCAAAAATTCCAAAAATAACGCAGCTATTTACAATACATATCCGTTACTTTCAAACAGTAAGTTTTTTCATTATTATATATTATAAAATTTAATCTAATTAATTGTTTTACTTGAAAAAATAAATTAAATTAATATTTTAGGCAATTGCAACAGTTTTTATATTATGCGAAATACGAACTGAATTTCTGTATGGTGCTACATGGATAAAAATAAAGCAACTAATTCCTGATCTTGAAAAAAAAAATATTAAATTCATAATGTTAGATTATGAACGTGCAGCAGGAATATCAGTCATTGAAAATTTTCCATCTACTGCAGTACATGGATGTTGGTTCCGTTTTTATTAGCCATGACGCCATACCTTATATGTGAGTAAAATGAAACATCAATACTGATTTTTCTTACACATTGTATATTATTGTTACGTCCGGACTGGACGGTAGGCACTTTCGCACTCGCGCTTTCGCAAAACACACACTCTCTTAAATAAATAGGCAGATTTTATAAAACGTAGGCCTTTTTAATAAACGTGACACTTTTAACAGAAAACCAGAATAACGACAACATCACGTCGCTAACGAGCGATAGTCTATTTACAAAATATCGATCGGGATATTCGAATATACACGGCCGTAACATTAATATCAAAACTGGGATAAAACTGAAAAGCTCTTTCACAATACTCGGGTTAAGTTCGAGCAGCGCGTATGTACAAGTGAGATGTATATTAATTAATTTGATTCTTCTACAGTGTAGCTGGTGTAGAAGTCACAGCAATATTAGTCAATCAAATGAAAGTATATAAGAAAAAGTGATATCACAAAGTAGCACCAAGTAAATTTTGTACGTTTGTACTTTTGTACATTATTATCCTAATCTAAGTATACATAACTA